AGAGTGGACAGATCCCCCAAGGGAGGACAAGATTGATGACTTTATAAAAGAAAGGAATGGAGCTCCGGATCAGAGAGAAGGCCTGGAGGAGACAGCAGGCAGGTGGAAGAAATCTGAACAGGTGCCATGAGGAGTGGCATTTTGCAGACTGGGACTGAAGCATGTAGATGCTGTTTGTAGGAAATGTTGCTGTGTGGGGAGCCACATGTCACTGTGCTCCAGGCCAGCAGCCTTTAGCAAAGACCAATGCCACTTCTCAACGCTTTGTGGATGAATTTCTGTTTCTTTGAATGTTGAGATGATCTTTAGGGTAGAAATAAGGAGTCGGTGTTCCTTGGTTTTCCTGATGTATGGCAGGTTAACACACAGCAAACCATTTATTTTCCCCTAAAATAGTGTGAAAGATGTAAAAGGCTTTGGAATGAGATGAATTTTAGTTCAGATCCTGGCTTTTCTTCTTGCTAACTTTGTGCTTCTGAATATATTACATAATGTCTCTGAGCCTGTTTCTGGTATAGGAGGATAATACCTAACTCAGGGTTTTTGTGAGGATTAAATGAAATGAGATGTGTCAAGTGCTTAATTATGCCTACACATAGTAATCGTTTTATTAAAAAGTTAGCTGTTATTATTATAATGATCCCCAAATTTAGTATGATTATCCTCCATTTCCAAGTAAAGATGAAGACTTAGAGAAGTCAAGTCTGCCTGCCTGTAATGCCCTTGTGAAGGGCTTGCCTATGAACAAAGACACTGGCATGGACAGAAGAGCAGGAAGGGATGTGTAAGGCCATGACTGAAGGTCATTTAAGCAAGTGGAAAGGATTAATGCACAATTAGGGTGGAGACCAGTGAAAAATGGGAGCAAGGTCAGAGGAAGACATCGCTCTGAAATGCTCACAGAGGTCTCCTGTCTGCAGGCTAATGGCCAGACCAAAAGTCCATTCTAACACCCATATGAACCCAAACTGAGAGCTAAGGTCTCGAAGGATGGGGAAGGATCCAGGGTTTCTGGATGCTGCTGAAATGCCCCAAACTGTGGTTCAATATCCAAAGAGAGATTCATGATAGGAGAAAGATATTTCCCAGAGTGTGAGGAAATTAGCTCATGCTTGAGCTGCACATATTTGGGTCAGAGATAGAACTTCCTGAAAGTCAAGGTTGTCAAATTAAATTAGAAATAATGATTTAAGACGTCTGTACTAGCGTCTACTCTAAGAGTAAAAACATCTGCCCATCTTTCCGGGCTGGGCAAGATGTGTCATAATGAGATGGGCTGGGACAGTTAGCCACCCTGGACAAATGAACCTCAAAATACACATGCCACGAGCAAGGGCTGGCTGTGACAGAAGCCACAGGGCTAGTAGAAGCCTACCATGGTGGGAGGTGGGCTGTTCTAACTTTGAAAACATTTCCAAGGACTGACCCAGAGCTTAAACTTCATAATTACATATTACTTTTGAGTGACCCTCAGGCTGAAGAGGTGGAGACCCATTGTCAGTACAGACCTGAAGGAGGAAATCAAATGACTGCTTGGACGAAGGGGACTTGAAGGAAGTGACCACACTTCCACTGATGAGAACCACTTGAACAAAGGCACAGATTGTGGAAGTAGCATTGCTGCAGGTTATCAGGTAGAGGCAGGGCCATCTGCCAAGGATATCAGCAAGTGTGTGGGGAGGAACGTTGGGTTGCGAGACCACTTGGGTCCTGTTCAACTGGGAAAGGTCAGGGCTTGGGGTCCTGTCCACTCTGGGCTCCAGAAACCAAGCCAAATCTCACTGCATTTCCAGGGGGTGCCGCTAGGGGAGACCATGGCCCCCAGGTGCAATGGGGCAAAGGTAGAAAGCCAGGAAGAAAACAGCTCTGGAGATGATTCACTTTTGATACATTCTTGACATTCTCAAAGGCCTGAGCTGCCTGGGAGGAGAGAGGACTGGGAGCATTCCCACAGTGGGAGCCAGGCCAGGGGTGCAGGGTGAGGGGGTTGCTCAGTGTCATCGCCTTAGCCTCATGTGCTAAGGCTGCTAGGGACCCTGAGCTGCAAAGGCCCTACAGGGTTGGCGAAGATTCCTGATCATATCCTATCAGGCAGGACATGGTCAGAGCACAGGGGCACAGGTCAGAGCCTGGACATTTGAACACCTAAATCCAAGATCTGCCCCAGGAAATCCCAAGAAGGAAAATCAACCTCTGGGGCCTTCAGCTCCTCTTCCACTCATTTCCCAGCTCAGCTTCCACCAGATGCAAAGGTCCTTTGCACTCATATTGCCCCCGTCTTCTTAAACATGAGAAAAGTACCTGATAAATTAGCCTAAGACAGAGGGTGCCCTTCCTCCCTGCAACATAGGCATTGCTAAGCCACCCTAGGGCTCTTTCTTCTGAGCCGTCATCAATCACAGAATCCTTCTTGACATAATGTTCTAGAGAAACCACTGCTAATCCATTGGAACTGGTGTGCAAGGTAAAACTGACCTGGCTCATCTGTTCTAAAGGAGCAGAAACCTTTAAAAGGACCACCAAGGAAAAGCTGAAGCTCCAGTAATGACAACCTAAGGTTATGGATTAAGTCCAGGTATCAATAAAAGAAGAGCAATTCCTCTGGACAGATGTAGAGAGATGACAGCTGGTAGATACATCTGCAAGCAGATTCTATCTGACTCCTCAGCAAGTCATTGCAGTTCCATCTGCACAAACACACCGGATGCCCATCCTGTGCCAGGCCCTATGTGGGGCTGATCCCTGCCCTCAAGCAGCCTGGAGTCTAGTGAAGGACAAGGGCATATATGCAATTAACAACAGTATTAAGCAGAATAAGAGTGGTGCTTTTTAAAGAAACCGTTGCCAAGGCTGTTGAAAGCAAGGAGGGAACTGATGACTTGGTCAGGAGATTACCACGAAGTTTCCTGAAGGAAGCAGTCCTGGGGCAGGACCTTGAAGGAGGACAAGGGGCCAAGAGCATTATGCCAGCTGAGGGGAAGGTTTGAGCAAAGGCATGGAATCAGGGAAACTGACGCAGGTTCAGAGAATAGTGACATGTCCAGGGGTGGAGTAGGGGACAAGCAGGTGAGAGGGAAATACAACTGGGGTCATATTATGGAGGTATTTAAATACCAGGGAGAGGGTTTTGTCCTCCTAAGCAACCACCCAGAGATCAGCTTCTTGGAGCATGGGATGTCCTCAGGAAACCGCTGGGGCAGACTCTCTGGATGCCTCTGGGAAAGCCTGCCCTTTCCCCTTTCTTTTATAACATGCTCTTGCACTTCTCAGGATCTTTGTTCATGCTGTTCCCTCCTCCAGAAATGCCCTTCCCTCCTTTTCTGCCCAGCAAACTCCTACTCATCCATAAAGTACCAGCACATAGTTCACCTCCTCTATGAAGGCTTCCTTGAAGCCCTAATGTAGTTATTAGTCCCTGCAAAGTGACCCCAAAGCTCTTGGTTCATTCCTTATGTGTATAACTTATACATCAATGTTTTACTCACCATTAGGCTGTGACCTCCTGAAGTCAGGGACTGTCTGTCAGTCATTCTGGGAATATCTATTCCTTATACCCCAGTACCTTGCACAGATGAGCCCTGCCAGTAAGTGTAGAAGGAAGGATGGAAAGAAGGGAAGGAGGGAGAGAGGGAGGGCATCTGTCCTGTTAGAGGCATGGGCAGCTGTGCCCAGGGGCCTGACCTCCTGGTTTGAGCTGCTTCTCAAGACCTGTGCCTCCCAGCTCTAGCCCTCAGCTGCCTCTCCTCTCCCCTACCCTGGGCCAAGAAGGACACACCTCCCATCAGCTGCCTGGCCCTGCTAGCCCATCATTAACCAGGCCTGCCCAGCCCTAAGAGGTGTGTGTACTGGGCTGAGCTCAGGGCTCATGTGAGTGTCCCTGACTTTCCTGCCTGGGAAGAGGGACAGAAGGGAGTTGGGACCCCCACACCAGCCCCAGAAAGTTACCCTTATGCTGTATCAGACAGAGGTTTTTGATTCTTAGAGCTCCGATTCTGGACAGCAGACAACTTCTCATTAGCTGTGGGGTGGAGCTGGGGACCTAATGAGCAGAATCTGCACTGGGGGAGAAACTGAGGCATGCAGGACTCAAGCTAGAGATAGGAGGAAAGTCTGAAGCCAGCCAGGAAGAAATACAAGTCTGCAGGTGCCCCTGTCTGGGCCAAGAACCAGAGCTCCCCAGGGCCCCTCAGTAGAGGCCAACCCTCCAACCCCCAACTCTTCAGGCTTCTTTCAGCACCCTGAGCTGTCCCCTCTCAGTCACAGGCGTCTTCTCCCCCAAGCACAGAAGGCGCTAGGGAAAACGGAGGTTGTGAGAGCAACAAATCTGGCAACCAGAACAGAAGGAACAGAACGCAGGAGTCCCGCCTCCCAGCCCACAGTTTGTGCTGGCCACACCTCCTGCTTTTAGACTCCGGCTTTCCCTGGGAACCTCTCCTCGCAAAGGCTGAAGACTGCGCCTGGGGCAGTGGCAGGTGGAGATCGGATCTCAAGCCTTGAGGGAAATGAAAGGGTTAACTCCCTCCCCCGCACTGTGCCCAGCAGGCCAGTTTAGCCATGCCCCGGAGGCTGTAAATCCTGGCTTGTCTCTGAGGGTCTCTCAATTTCCAATTCCCTCTTTACTTCTCCTTCCACCTCCTTCTGGGAGACACTGGGAGGGGAAGCTGGAGCCACTTGGCACCAACTTTCTCTGGGGTGTCATTTAATAGTCAGTAATCACCATCTCCAGGTTCATTAGCTCTTTCCCTCACTGCAGCTCTCACCATCCTGGCTCTCTCTGTGTCTCCATCTCTCTCTCCACTGCAATTCCTGCCCCACCCAACTTCTCTCCCCGAAACTGATCCCGATCAACTGGGCGGCTGGAAGCGGGAGGTAGGGCCCAGGGAGCTAGAATTCTTCTGAAGCAACAGAGCAAACACAGCACAAGTCAGAAAGAGTACTGGAGGGCAAACAGGAGGAGGGCAGACGAAATCAGGAACCGTCCAGTAATAAAGATTCCTCTCTCGGACAAAATAAAGTGGTCAGAGTCAGTGTGAGCTCTAACACCTCAGACCATTTCTGTGTTTAATATGCCAGACAGGAGCGGAGAATGGAGAGCATCTTCCCTGGTGATACAATGAGATTATGCTTTTGAAAGTGTGTCATCAGAGTGCTCTACAAAAGTAAGAGGTTTTATCCAGCTGCGTAGCTGATTTGCCTGGAGGAAGACCGCGGGGCCTGGTGGAGGCTGGGGAGGTACTCAGACCTGCTCCACCCCATTACAGGGTCTTTGGCTTCATGATTGTTGATTGTAATGGTCACACATATCCCTGGATGCTACCGAGTCCCCATACCCAGTGCTTCTGCCAGATGATGTGCCCCGATTTGGGGATGGGAAATGTGGTCTTTTCCTGCAATGCCCTGCAAGAGCCCACCCTTGAACAGTGTCTGTTTAGCAGCCACCGGAGGTGCTGGGATGGCCCTTGTGAAGCCTGGCAGGTGCCTGCTTGCCAGTGAAGCCTCAGTCGGTGCCCCCCATATGATCCTCCTAACCCCATCCACACTCCACACCCATCTTAGGTAGTGGGAGAAGTGTTGGGTCAGGTCTCAGCCTGGCACCAGATGCCATCCCCGGAGCAAAGGCAAAGTCCAGAGGCAGCTTTCCACACGATGGCCAGGTCAGGCAAGTGAGAGATAAGGGCCACACTTTGGACTCCACAGCCAGAGAGCCGAGGGTAGGGGGTGGGGTGCGGCAGGGGTCCCTGGCTCCTACACCCTTCTGCCGGCAGGCAGTCCCCTCCCCTGCCTGGTTAAAGGAGGAAGACAGGCAGGGGTAGGACGGAATAGCGGCAATCGCTGCATCCAGAAAGAGAGGTGGGCCCCTGCCACCGACCACTCGGTCATCACCTTGGCAGCCTCGGCGGCGGCGCCGGACCTCACGGGGGTCTGGGCGGGACAGAGGGCGGAGCGCGGTCCCATCCCTTCCGTCAGGCAGGTGGGTGGTGAGTTCAAGTGCGAACGCGAAAGGGGAAGGGGCTCTGCGAAGGTAGTTCTCCTAGCGCGGGGCGGCAGGACCCTGGCCCCCAGGGCCCCACGGGCGCCCGCGCTGCGCGGCCAGCCCGAGGCCCGCGGCGAGAGGCGGTGCCAGGCGCGTCCCCGCCCTCCTGCCCGCCCCGCCCGAACCGACCCGGCCAGTCCCTGCGCTGCCGGAGCCCCGCGGGGCGCTCCGTCCCAGACCCAGGCTAGGCAGCGGGGCTGGCATCGCTGGGGAAGCCGTGGGCGACCGGGAGCCCTGCGGGCCGGGGCGGACAGCGCGGGCATCGGGCACAGGGACACCTGCGGGCACAGGTGAGGCCCGGGAGGGCTGGGCGGACTGACCGCGGGCGAGGGGAGGCGGCGCGGTGGGCAGGGGAAAGGAAGCGGGGTCAAAACTCAAAAAGGGCCTTGGATAGGAAGAGGGAGAGGAGACAGAGCCCTTGAAGGAGGATTTGGGGGAGGAGGTCTGGGAGACATGAACGTTTTCCTCTCCGGCTCATAAATCAGAGAAAAAATACGGGGAGGGCTGAGCAGGGGCTTCAGGCCCACCTGGAAAAGGATGGCATCTGCCTAGGAGGCTCTCTTCTCCAGGCTCTCCCCGCTCTGAGGGTGGTCCAGTGTCCAGGTTTAGCGGTTAGGGATGGAGCCCGGCACCTGACTCCCAGCCCCATGGAGGTTCCCCAGATCCCAGGGCAGACCAGAAAGCCTGCTTCCCCTTGGGTCATCTCTAAGGCCAGCGGCTGATAGCTGTCCTCCCTTACCTCCTTGTCTGGTGGACACACTTTTCAGTGAAGGACCAGATAGTCAATATTTAGACCTTGAAGCCTATATGGTCTTGGTTCACTACTAGTAGGAAAGCTGTCGTAGACAATTGGTAAAAGAGTAAATGTGGCTGTGTTCCAATAAAACTATTTGTGGACGCTGAAATTTGAAATTTCATATAATGTTCGTGTAGTATGAGATATTCTTTTGGTTTTCTCCAACTATTTAAACATGTAAAAAATGTTTACACTCTTAGCTCGAGGACTGCACAAAAACAGGTGTCATGTCAGGCAGTTTTCGGTGGCCCCACTCTCCCTACCGTGGCTTCCCTGCAGCCTCAGCCCAGGCTGTGTATGGGGAAGGGGAGGGTGTAGCTTGCTCAAGCGGACTTCCCGACCTGGGGACATCCAGCAAGCCAGCTGTGTCTGACCCCTTTTCCCACCTACTGCCAGGACTGCAGCATCCTTTGTGGGAGCTGGTACTCCAGATGGGCACACATGTGAGGGATGAGGTAAAGCTCCCAGGTTTTTACTTCCCAGCATGTGGGGACATACCCCACCCCCACTAAGTCATAGATGAGGCAGCTATGCTCCCCCAACAGTGACAAGCCCTTGGCCCTCCCCTCCACTTGATTTCTAGTCTGGTGCCACCCACTGACGCAGCTGGCCCTTCCATTCCTGTTTGCAGCCTCAGAGGACCCCCCTCTCCTGGACATGGAGCTATGACTCTTTGGAGGTGATCCATGAGAGAAGAGATGCAGGACTTTGGTCCTCCCGATGGGGGTCCCCTCCAAGGACTTGTAGCTTCCCGCATTGAGACTTACGGGGGCCGGTCTCAAGCCTCCCCCCAGAGCACTGCTGGCAGTCTCTACCCCCAAGGAGGCCCCCTGCTGGTGAGTTCAGGCTGTGCCCTAAAGGCGACCTGGGTGGAGCAGGAGGGCGGACCCAAGGCTTTCAAGTCTCTGTGCCTCTGCAGGTTCATGGGCTGCTCTGTTCCCACCCCTCACCCCTACCTCCCTTCCTGGGCTCTGAGGGAGAGGAGAGCAGTGCAGGGCCAGGCTCCTGGGACTCTGGGGCAAGTGAGGCCGAGAGCCAGGAGAAGCCAAGGCCTCAGAGGAGGCGCTGTTAGACAGGTCCCAGGCACAGGGTGGGGGGTGTCATCAAACCCTGGGGCTGGCACCTTCCCAACTCCCACTTCTACTTGGGAGGAGCCTGTGAGCTTCCTGAGACCTGCCTCCCTCTGAGTCATAACTGGAGGAAGAGCAAAGGTTCAGGGTGTCCCCACTGAAAAAGTGGGGAGGGGTAAGAGGGCCTCCCTCAGCTCCACCCGAGTTCCACCCTCCTGGCCCTTGTCCAGAGCTGACCAAGGAAAGGGGTGTGGAGGCTGTGGTCTTTCCCTCAGCCTCCAGGCTTCCCTTCCACCTTGAGAACAGTTCTGCTTCCAGCTAGGGGTATCCCCTGCCTTCCTGGAGGAGGATTCGGCCCTGGGAGACAGGGAGGGCAGCTGGTGACTCTCCCAGGCTGAGGGCAGGAAGAGAGACTAGGAAATATGTGGGGTAAATCAGGCCACAGTCAAATCAAAGAATGTGACCAGGCCTGCCCGGGAGGAGACTTGTGGCCATGGCCTCAACCACTCATGCAAAAGGGCGACCACTCCCGACTGGAGAGGACACGCAGGCTGCGTGCTCCTGGGGAGGAGGCTACACGTGTGTGCCCTCACCTCCACATGTGAGGGTGGCTATTCACAGACAGGGGAAGCTGTGAGGAACCCAGAATGCAGTGGGCGTCATGCATTGTACAAGCCCGTAGTGCAGGTGACTAGACAGGCACTGGGAGGTGGGCACTGGGGGTACACGCCAGAGCCAGGCACGTGAGCACCTATGCTCCTGTTCCGGAGATGGCCCTGCTTCTGCTCCCAGGCCCACCAGCCCCTCCCCAGCCCAGCTCAGCCTCCCTGGTGGAAGGGGAGAGTGAGCCAGCCTGGCTTGCAGGGGTAGGCAGTGCTGTCTGGAATCAACCCTGGCCCCCACTAGTTCTCTGGGATCTGGGGGAAGGGAGGCCCCCAGAACTTACCTTGCTCCTCATCTAGGAACCCAGTCGCCGCCGCCTACAGAACAATGTCCCATTTGCCAAGGGTTCTGGCCAGGCCCGAGGCCTGCCTCCCATCAGATTGCGAGAACTAGAGCCTGAGAAGAGACATGGGGGCCATTATGGGGCTGTCCCACCTCACTCTCCCAAATTCAAGGTAAGGGGTCCTCTTCTCCCGTCCCCATGTTCACAGCCTGAGCTAGGATATCCTCCACAGATGATCAGAGCTGCAGCCCCTCCAAGAAGCCAGGTCGTCTCTGTCTAGAGACCCTCTCTGAACTGCATCTCTAAGCCATGTTGTCATAAAAATGTACATTTTATGGGCAAATGTCAAAATGTTGTCACTAAGTTCTATTCTGGGCTCCACCTGAAGGTCCCTCTGAAGGGTTCAGTCTTGGTCAGAGTCCTGGAAGGTGTCTGACCAGGGAGCCAGGTCAGACCCCTCTGTCCAGGGCCCTTTCTGTGAACCAAAGCTTCTGTCCATCCACGTTCCAGAAACAGCTTTCCCCTGAAATCCCTGGTGGAGGCCCCGTGTCCCCACTCACACTCAGTGCTGCCTGCCACCTCCCATGCCCAGGCACACACGCAGCCCTCCACAGGCCAGGTGGTCTGGGAGCTGGTGCCAGGACTCATCCCCTTCTCGGCAACCCCAGGACGTCAGCAAGGCCCGAGCGCTGGAGGTGCGGCTGCATACATTCAGCATGTTCGGGATGCCTCGCCTGCCCCCTGAGGACCGCTGCCACTGGGAAATAGGAGAGGGCGGCGACAGGGGCATGGTCATCGAGAAGTCCTGGAAGGAGCTTGTACCTGGGCACAAGGTGGGCCTGGAGCACAGTGTATGCCCCCACAGTGTCATGGACACATATATCCCTTTCCCCTCGGCCCTAGAGGAGGGAAAGGCCTGAAGAAGTGGGGTCATGTGGGGAAAGCATTCGGAGATGTCTTGCTCTAGATTCCAATCCCAGCTCTACCACTTGTGAGACTTTGGTCAAGACAGGAAACCTCTGAGCCTCAGTTGCCTTATCTGTAAAATGGGCACAACACTGCCTACACACTGGAGGACTGGTTTGAGGAGCAAAAGGTCATCTATGAAGTAGACCCCATAGCATTTAACAAATAGTAGCTGCTGCCCTTGTCACCATTCCCCAAGTGAATCAGCCCCATCCCCACCCCAGGAGATGAGCCAGGAGCTCTGCCACCAACAGGAAGCACTGTGGGAGCTACTGACCACAGAGCTGAACTACGTGCAAAAGCTCAAGATCATGACCAGCGTGAGCCTCGCGCAGCCCCGACCAGCCCCACCCTCAGCCATTTCCCCATTACCCTCCCATTACCCCAACCCCTGGACCAGAAGGGGCAGTCGCGGGTGGCAGCAGACGGGAAATGAGGAGATGCCTCTGATCTGAGACCAGCCCAGGGTCTCTGGTGAAATGTTAGCTGTGGTGAAGTTGGGGAGTGGGGATGCATCGAAGGGCTAGGCTGGGGTCCCAAGATGATCAGGTCAGGCACTGAGACCCTCCTGTCTCCCTGCCCCCAGCTCCTAGCTGCCGGTTTGCTGAACTTGCAGCGTGTGGGGCTGCTGACTGAAGTGAGTGGGGGCTTGGGAGGGGAGCCTGGGGAGTGGGTGGTGGGCCCCCCAAGAGCCCTCCAAGCTGCTTGGTGTGAACCCCCACTGCCCAGTTTTCTAGGACACCCCCTGCCTTCCTACCCCTCTTCTTGCTCAGGACCCCCAGGAGGCCTGGGGCCCAGCCGCTGCACCGTTCCTGCACCAGTGCTCAGCCATCAGATGGACCCCACCCACAGCCACCCCAGCTTAGCTGTGCCAGCGCTTCCTGCCTGACCTGCCAAGGCATGGCTTTGTCCTGCTCCCTCCTCCAGATATCAGCTGAGACCCTGTTTGGAAATATCCCCAGCCTGATTCGGGTGCACCGGAGCTTCTGGGAGGAGGTGCTGGGGCCCACCCTGGAGAAGACCCGTGCCTCAGGCCAGCCTCTGGACCCTGTCAGCCTGAAGAACGGCTTCTTGACGGTGAGGCATGGGGAGGGACCACATCTGGGGCCCCACTGGGAGAGCCCAGAGGGACCCTGTCTTCAGGGCATGTCTGTGCCACACAGATACCTTTATGACACAGCCCCCACTCCAAAATACCACCTCCCCTCCTGCCCTTCATTCTGTAGGCATGACCTCTGACCCAAAGGTTCTTTGGTCTTCTGAGACCCTTTGGAAAGGAAGATGAAGCTATCTCAGGAAAGGTTTGCACTCAGGCTCTTATCAGCTACAAAATCATATTTCTTGGCCAGAGACATTGACAAACACCTGGGAGGGGAGGCTAGGTGTCCCCTAGGCTATGGGGCAGGTATAAAGGCCACAGGGCACCTGGAGTATGACGTGTGAGAAGAGGAAGAAAGAGGCCTGGGATCAGACTTGCTTCCACAATTTTACCCGACCAGGAAATTGTGGGCCTTACAGATTTAGAATGGGGTAGAAAGGTGGGGCACCATGTCCTGGGGGCCTTAGGCAGCCCCCTTTCAGGAGCAGGGCTTCTGGGCAAGCCTCAGGTCTCCACCCACTGCCCAGGTGAAATGGGATCTGCAGTGTCCTAAGAACATTCTGGCTGCATTATTAATGGTGGAAGAGCAGGTCCAGAGCCACAGCGCACAGCAGAAGCTGGGCGTAGGAGCTCAGAGAGTAGCAGTGGGTTTTCCTCTATGGACCTCAACTCCTCCTGGGAACACGAAGGGAGCTGCCGTGGGAAGGAGAGGTCGGCAGTAGCGGGCCTAGGCATCTGTGTAAGGCTCTCTCCCCGCCTGCTCCTCATGTTCTGCAGCCAGAGCCTGTATCTCATGACTGCTTGCTGCCCATCCCCCATGTCTGTCCCTCAGTTCAGCGAGCGGTTCCAGCCCTATGTCCAGTACTGCCTGCAAGTGAAGCAGACCATGGCTTACGCCCGGGAACAGCAAGACACCAACCCTCTCTTCCAGGCCTTCGTGCAGGTGGGGAATGAGGTGCCTGGGGAAGGGCCTGGAGTGGGCCTTAGACAACCAGGTCAGCCCATCTCCAGCTGGGTCCAAGGCAGGAGGGAGCCTGCAGACTCCTGACCCCCTGTCCTCCTTCCCTGTCAGTGGTGTGAGAAGCACAAGCCTTCAGGGAGGCAGCATCTGGGGGACTTGCTCATCAAGCCCCACCAGCGCATCACCAAGTACCCACTGCTGCTCCAGGCTGTGCTCAAGAGGAGCCCAGAGGCACAAGCCCAAGAGGCTCTGAACGCCATGGTAGGTGGCCTGGCAGGGCCAGTGCCCTTGGCCTGGGGGCTGGTGTGCGGGAACTGATTCCCAGAAACTCTTATGGGTCTCATTCCTCATGTGTATGTGCCAGCGAGGCACCAACTCCTTGAGAATGCCCTGGCTGTCATTGATTGGGGGGACATACAAGGGAAGGGGCTAAGCGGTTCCTCCTTCCTCACCCAGATTGCAGCTGTGGAGTCATTCCTGCGGTACCTCAATAAACAGGTCCGCCAGGATGAAGAGCAGGAGAGCTTGGTTGCTGCCGCCCAACGCATTGGGCCCTATGAGGTGCTGGAGTCATCCAGTGATGAGGTGGAGAAGGTGAGAGGGTGAGAGGGGGCAGAAGGGCGCTTGGCAATGGAGGAGTGGAGGCCTGGAGGGAAAGGGTAGAGAACCACAGAGGTGAGCCCGTCATTCCTTCCCAGCAGTGAGCACCCAAGGGGCGGAGGTCAAAAGGGTAAAAAGGAGGCCGGTCGTTTCCTAGGGAGAAGTTGCTGGACAGCAGAGGCCACCTCGGCTGAGAGGTAGAGACAAGCCCTGCCAAGCCCCTGACCTCCCCTCTGTGCCCCTCAGAATCTGCGTCCATTCTGCACCCTAGACCTGATGTCCCCCATGCTGGGCATCGCTCCTGAGCACACCAGGCAGCTGCTGCAGGAGGGTCCTGCGCGCATGAAGGAGGGGCGAGAAGGGAAGGTGAGACAGCCCCAGTGAAGTGATGAAGAGAAAGATCCAAATGGGAGAGGAGTTAAAGAAAATGAAGGGAAGTGTGATAGAGGCAGAATAAGAGTCAGAGAGGCTGGCATGGGAAAAGAGGGTTTGTGTCTGTGTCTGTGAGTGACTGGGAGGAGGACCTGGTTCTGGCTAAGCTCTGGCTGTCTGTATGACGCTGCGTCCACACTTTCCCTGCTCGTAAAGTGAGAGGAGACTGAGCTGACACTCCCTTCCAGCTCTAGCATCCCACAGTTCTGCCCTTGACCTCCACCGTTGTGCACCGTGTGTGAGACCATCCCTGTCCCGCCCTTCCCCCTGCTCCACTGACCTTGTGGCCTCTTTCTCCCATGCACATGCCCCAGCTCGATGTGTACCTGTTCCTCTTCTCTGACATGCTCCTGGTGACCAAGCCCCAGCGCAAAGCAGACAAAGCCAAGGTTATCCGCCCCCCACTCTCGCTGGAGAAGCTTGTGTGCCGACCACTCCGAGACCCTCGTATGTCTCTTCTGTGGAGACCTTTCCCTTCTCCTGTCCTTTGGCAAGGGGAGGGAGGAGACAGGATGGAGACCAAATAAGGCCTAGCCCTTGACGCAGACCTTCTCCTCCACCCAGACAGCTTCCTGATAATCCACCTCACTGAATTCCAGTGTGTTTCCAGTGCCCTCACTGTGCACTGCCCCAGTGCTGCAGACCGTGCCCAGTGGCTGGAGAAGACCCAGCAGGCCCAGGTATGTGAAAACCTGGCATGGGGAGGGATGGCAAGGACCCGGAGCTCAGAAACAGTACAGAAAAGAGGAGGAGAGAGAGAGAGAGAGAGAGAGAGGCTGGGGGTAGGTGCAGGAGCCTCTCGTCCTGCTCAGCCCTCAGCCCCTCAGGGGTACCCTCAAGAGGGAGACCCAGCCTTGACCATCCTTACGAGCATGGGCCAGCTGTGGTGCCAGTCACTGGGAGAGCCCAAGATGGCATCCCCTAAAGGTCTCTACACCCTGAAACCAATTACTTCTAAACTTCATCTTCCATTCAGCAGACATTAACGGGGCATTTCCTGACTGCAGGTTCTGGGTAGGTGTTGGGGAATCAGAAAAGAATAACACACCTGCCCTCAAGAGATATTCACTGCAGCCTAGCTAGACAAATTCATTTACAAATAATAGAAACATGCATACAGAAGGGAACTGGGAAGAGGAATGCATTCTGCATGGGTGGGGGGGTGCTGGGAGGGGCAGTGCAGGGTTGGAGGGCCCAGAAGCCTTACAGAGGAGCTACTGACTGAGCTCCTTTTGGGGGGGGGGGTGGATATTTAGTATCCATGAGCAAAACTAAGTAGGAGGGAAAGGTATTCCAAGTGGAGAAGCAGAAAATACCAAGGTCAGAAGTGACACAGTCATGTGTGTTCAGAGAACCACCAGCCTAGTGGTTAGTATTACTAGGGCATAAGTCACAAGGGCAGGTGTAGTGGCAGAGAGGCTGGGCAGCAGGCACCATGAGATCATGCCCATCTCTGGATGACATGCTAAGAAACTTGAACTTTGTCCTATAGCACCTAGTGAAGGTATTAAACAGGAGAGTGTCATGGGCAGATTTATGTGATAAAAGCTAGAGGAATTCAAAAGAAGAGAGATCTAAATGGACCTGTGCTAATTACCGTAAACTTGGTGACTTAATACAGCAGAACTTACCTCTCCCAGTTCTGGAGGCCAAAAGTTGGAAATCAAGGTGTCAGCAGGACCTGGATTCCTCTCCAAGGCTCCAGGGAGGATCCTCCCTTGTCTCTTCCTGCTTCTGGTGCTCCAGGTGTTCCTTAGCTTGTGGCTGCTTCACTCCCTCTCTGTCTTCACGTGGCCTTCCACTCTACGTCTCTGTGTCCAAATTTCCCTTTCCCTTCTATAAAGACACCAGCCATTAGATTTAGAGCCCGCCCTAAATCCAGGATGATCTCATCTCACCCTTAACTTAGGCTCTTTGCCTATCTGCAAAGACCCTTTTTCCAAATAAGGTCATATTTACAGGTTCCAGGGGTTAGGACCTAGACGTATCTTTCTGGGGCCACTATTCAACCCCCTACACCAGCAGAATGGCCAAATAGTGAAGATTTGAGTTGGACTGTTAAGGATGAGGAAGACCATGAGCAGAAGAATCAAGGGAGCAAGCAATTGGGCTGGATTTCTTCTGGGGACAGTGACCATGTCTGTCTGAGTCTGGAACAAAGGGTTTGTGTGAGCAAATGATGGGTGGCCAGGCTCTACAGGACCTAAGAGCTACAGAAAAGTGTGTTCTGGATGATACTGAATTGAAATGAGTTGACAAGAGAGAGCCACCATAGATCTGAGCAAGGAAATGCAGCCGTGAAACCATTGTGTTTCGTCCTGAACTGTCAGGTGGCAGTGTGATAGGTGGGAGAGAGAGACTGGTGGATAGGAAATTTACTAGTTTGGGTGTGAAACATCGAGATTTACTGCCATGGCCTTAGGGGCATGTTGTGAAACAGAAATAATGGGGAAGAAGAAAGATGCTAAAGAGGGAAGAAACAGGTGAGCCTTTGGGAGACTGTGGTTAAAAGCCTGTAGTTATTGCATGCAAATCAAAATTCAGACTCCAGTTCTACTTCTTGGTAGCTGGGGAAGCTTGGGTGAGTTATGCCTTTCCATTTCTTCACTTACAAAATGAATATAAATAATAACTTGCCTTGTAGGGAAGATTTAAAGAAATCATTCAGATTAAGGAGGCAGCATGGTACCAGCTGGGTAACTCAGGTCCTCAAGGACCAAGGATGGTTAACTTCCCAAGGTTCCTGTTTGAAAGGCTGCTTGGGCAATGGTACCTTTGACCGAAATGAAATCATTATAAAGGGAAACTGTGTTAGTTGTTGCTTCTGGGGAGAGGTAGGGCTAGGGCAGTAAAATTTAGTTTTAAACTGAAACATTTTGGAAATGAGGTAGTGGGAGACAACCCAGTAGAGACACCTCGGGGCTTTTGGAAATACGGAAACACACCTGGAGTTCAGATGGGACTAAGGAGGAGCTAAGTCACTAAGAGAGTAGATCTTAAAGTTCTTAGCACAAGAAAAAAGAATTTTTGTAACAATGTTTGGTGATGGACATTCACGAAACCTACTGTGATAATTTCAAATATATATAAATTTCAAATCATTGCATCGTACACCTGAAACTAGTATATGAATGTCAAACCTCATTACAAGAAAAGGAAAAGGCATTTTGAACAAGGAAAGAAATCTTAGTGTAAATGCTTTCTAAAGAATGCAACTTCATTATTTTTAGAGTTTAAATCAAATTAGTGTTCTTATGGGGTTTGCTTGGAATGGGTAACAGCGATTTATTATTGGCTCATTAGGTAATCAGGGCTTCTGAAACCTTTGAGAATGTGTGGGAAACGTGGTTCTGGAAACAATTTTAAGTGTTCCTCCCACAATCTTATCTGTGGTATCACATCACAACGTGGAGAGCTTATCTGCGAAAAGGAAAACAAGAGCTTGGTCTCTGTTTAAATCCTGTCTTAAAAAATTCTGAATTAGGAGAGTAAAACATGATGATGAGGTTTTGGCCATTAAAAAAAAAAAGAAAAGAAAAGAATAAATAAGGATGGAAATCAGACCCTCAAGGTCTTGAGTCCTCCAGCCCCGCAGGGCTGCCCCTTGCCTGAATCCCTAAACAAGGTTGGACCCATCCCCAGGAGGCCAGGGGTGGGGGGGGGAGGTCTAGGGATGGTTTTGTGGTGAGAGTGGTTTCCCAGAAGCCCTGACCCCTGCTTCCAGCCTGCTTTTAGTCCCTTCTCTGTGCATGGCAGGTGCCTTCTCTCTGCATCCCTCTCCCCAGCCCCACCAGTGTCCCCAAGGTAGGACTGGCTGGCAATGAACACCACTGTAGTGGTTAATTAAGCCGTATGAAAGGAAGGCTGGGTGAGAGGGGAGCAGAGGATAAGGCAGCAACAGGCCTCAGGGTTCCTGGAGCCCCCACCTCCCCAGGACAGCAGGCAGGCAGCCCCTTCTCCTTGCCGCCTCCACCATCAGACCTGTGTCCTCTGCCCTTGGTTCCCAGCCCCACAGCAACACCCCGCCCACCTTCTCCCTTTAGACCCCGCAGGCAGGCAGGCAACCAACCACTAAAAAGTTTCTGGTATTTTATGTAAACTCACTTAGGCCGCGGCAGTCTCTCTCCAGGCTTTTAGAGGAAAGGATGTCACTTCTTGTGGTACCAGAGCAGTGCACACGCCGCCGGGCCTGCCTTGGTGAAACAAGGAACCCTGAATCTTTTAAATTAGTTTGCGCTGCTATTGTCTCCAGCACATTTGGAGGGAATGCTGCCCCGGGACCGTCAGTCGGTGTTGAACAGAAGAGGGCAGTAGCATACCTATTGGTTCCCGGGATAGAGAACCCCCAGGGGTCAGAATTTTGTTTTCTCCGCCTTACAGAAATGTAGACGCAGATTTATTCCTGAAAAGGGTAGGGGGCGCCTTAAGCTTTTAGAGCCAAAGAGCTTGGCCAGGGGAGGGAGGCCGAAGCTGGGCAGTACGCACAGCAGGGGTTGGGAAGAGGAAAATGAAGGGAAGTGGCAGAGCGGAAAGAGCTGTGAGACAGAGCCAAGCCAAGGAGGGGGACTGAGAGTGAGGCTGCTGCGGGGACGAGCAGGCTCCCTGCCTCCCCTGTTCTTGTGGGGTGACCCCACTTCCCTGCGTCCAGGGCATCTGGGGCGTTGCAGTGACAGTGGGGGCTACCACACAGAAGACGGGAGGAGGACGTTTGTAGCTGCTTGGCGCAGAGCACAGCCCGTAACAGAGGCTCCATAAATGTTCATCGCTGTCATCAGAAGGGTGGTTGGCAGCGCCTGGGTGGGGCCCCCTGCTGGTTGGGGAAGCACCTCAGCATCTGGCCCCCAGAGAGGCCATGGGCACTTCAGGAGGTCCGTTTTAGTCCACACGGGGAGGAGAGCCGAGACTCGGGGACAGGGGGGAGGGGAGGCATTTCCTCCCAGGGCTCAGTTCTCCACCAGGACAAAGAAAGAATCATGAGGCGGGGCAGGGGGAGCCCTCCCTTCCTTGTCCCGGCTTTATAGGGTGTCACATACATGGATTTCCTCTCCCTTTCTCACCTTGCCTAACGTGTCTCTCCTCTCGCCTGACCCAGGGTGGCGGGAGAGGCTTGGGGGTGGCTGGGGCCTCGTGCTCTCCCCTGGTGCTGAGGTCTCCACCCTCTCTGCTTCTTCCCGGACTGGGGCCCAAGGCGAGTTCAGTGGAGATGCCAGTACTGGAAGCTCTGCAAACCCCACCCCTTCCTTCCAGTTCACTTCTTCCACACAACATCCCTTTCCTGGACTTCCCAAACACCCAACTGAACTTGGGTCTTGTGGGGCAAAAGGGCGCGGCATCTCATCAGGAGGGCTGGCTGCCCACCCACCTAGCTCCCCGCCATGCTGGGGACGGGGGAGGAGGCCTCAGACCCGGCCCTGTTGTGCCACACTGGGACTGGTGTCGGGGCTGGTTTCCTGCCCCCAGGCACCAGTAGCCCTCACTCTGGCGAGAATCTTAGGGTTGGGTTTGTTCTTCTCTTCCTCCTCCGATCTTGTCCCCTCCGCTGCAGAGAACTGAAAGTCAGGGACACAGTAGTGAAACAGTGAAAGTTTTATTTGAATACACTCCTAGGGAGAAGCGGGCCTCTAGAGGCAAGGTGGACAAAGACCCTGAACTTTTATATCACTCCTGCCTTTGTATTACATTCTGGCTAGGTGGCGCCTCTTTGACAAGGTGGGGTTATTTGATTGACAGGTCCATCTACACAGTCCTCCCAGTGAGCATGTCCTTCCCCGTGGGGAGGTGTGGTTCGGGCAGTTTTTGGTTCCGTCCGATTGTACCCACATTGGGGTCTGGTTGGGAAGGAAGTTATCTGCCGGCAAAGCCTTTGTTGTCTTCACAGGGCAGGGTTTGGGCAGCTTTTGCTTTGAATCTTATCTTCTCATTTTCTGGCTGCTCCTGTCTATCTTCCTACCTAACATTTGCACTGTACTGTCACTCACAAGACTGAGGAACTTGCAGTGCCAGGGAAAGGAGATGGGACTGTAAGCCTGGTGTCATTTCCCTGTCTCTGTTCATGCATTTCTCCATGTCACTTGTGCCGACCCAGCCACCTGCTGTTTCTGGAGAGGCTTTGGGAAGCTCTGGGTGTCCAAGAGTTGCTGGTTCATATTCCCCAAGCTGGGGACAGATTACAGTTATTTAACAACCAGTACGGCACCTGCATCAAGCAGTCCGAGTGGTGCATTATGGTGTGTGTGTGCGTGGGGTGGGGGGGTGACCTAGAAGTCCCGTGTCGTGCCAGTTGTTACCCCTCTAGCTGGTGTATCCTGGGGGATGGGATAGTCCTAGGGAAGGGAGGTGAAAGGCTCAGACAGCAGCCCTCTGCTCAGCAGAGTGGAGTATTTCAACAATGGCCATTTAATATGGCCACACCAGTGAGTGCTAATATAAGCACTGCCCTCGGCCCTCGGTAGCCACCACAACTTCCCTTCTGCTGGGCCTCTGACCCAACCTCTCCACGGGTTCTGCTGCTTTCCCTCCCCCGCCCTAAGCAAAGGCTGTCCTTTAGTAACTCTCTGCCCTTTAAGGCTGCTCGTGAAAAAGTGCTTACTGAACAGGGACTCACAGAGAAAGGCCAGCCCAAGTTCGGCTTCTCTGTACCTGTTCGACCTTGAGCAATGCCAATAGTCTGTCTTGTTTTCTCATCTGTGAAATGGGCTAATATCCACGCTTTCCACCCTGCAAGATGATGGCATGTATCAAATGACCAACCACATGCATGTGGAGGTGCTTTGCAAACCACTTCTCAGATGTCACTATTTTATTCTGAGGACACCTGCATGAAAACGTTGAGAGAAGACAGAAAGTATACTATATCTCTGTTCTTCCTGGCATGGTCTTCTCTCATCTCTGAAGGACAGTAGAGTTCTCTGGTAGTAGGAGAGAGTAACCAGAGAGCCCAGCACCTTTCAGAGTACTTACACCAACATCACTACTTATCAGGGAGGGCTTCCTGGAGGAGGGGACAGACCTGATAGAGGGCTTGCCAAGGGGGCCTGAGAGGCAGCAAGAATGTACAGGCAAGAAAAGGGGCCTTCTGTTCAACCTACCCACCCCCAGGACCAGCTTGAGGGTTCAAATCTGGGCTTCACCCCACTTACTGTAAGACCTTAGCAGTTACTTAAGCTCCATTTCCATTTCAGTAGGAAAATAGGAGTAAAAAATAGTATCTACCTCAAACAGTTGTGAAAATTAAATGAGATAATGTATGTAAAGCACTTGGCATGTGCCTGGCATACAGGAAGTCTCAATAAATGAGTGCTCTTAATGAAAAGTATCACCGCAGCTCACCCTGCAGAAGCTGAAGACAGAGGAGTATGTCCAACAGAAGAGGGAGCTCCTGGCTCTCTATCGCGACCAGGACCACACGTCCCCAGGCACCAGGCCCTCCACACCTTCCCAAGAGGGTTCTCAGAGCAGCGCAGAGGGGAGGTAAGGTCCACAGGGACTCCGAGGTCTCCCATTAGAGACCCCCAGGCGGGGAGGGAAAGGAGCCCACGAGGCTGAGAAAAGACAGTGTTGTGGGGATTACGATAAATCGAGGATCCCAGGCTGTAGGCTGGAGTGGACCAGGTTGGCACCAGTTGTGCAAAGGGTCCCATGGGACAGCCTTGGGGCTTAGCCAGCCTAGGGCTGGCACAGGGTGAAGGAAACAGGCACAGAGACATGAGCTCCCTGAGAGGAGAGCGGGCTCCCAGGGCCAGGGGTGAAGAGTGCAGGCGGTATAGATTTGCAGCATGTCAGAGTGTAGGATCTGCTAGTCCAAATCCCCCGAGAGTGTGAGGTTCATCCGCAATCACACAGATTTTCAGCAGCAGGGCTAAGGAGAAAAAAAAGATCCGATCCATCACTGGGAGATAACTTCAGGGACCCCTCAGCAAATAGCTGAGCCCTTACTTGACACAAGGTCCTGGTCCAAGTGCTGTGGCTAAAATACCCAAGGGGAGCTTATTGTACAGCCAGCAAGACACACCAGTGCAATGTGAGGGTGCCACTGAAATGAGCTTGGGGGAGGGGCCATTACTGGATAGTGTGAGCGCAGGAGACTTTCCGGACTTGAACTTGTCCCTCAGCATCTGACTATTAACTGTAGGACTCCTGAGATCTTGACCATCATCCCCCACCTCGTGGTGACAGAAGACACAGATGAAGACACTCCCTCAGTGCCAGACAACACCTCCGACTCTGGCTACAGCACTCTGCTCCCAGGCTCCCACTCTCCGCTGCCCCATCTATTCTCACGGGCTCTTCGGCGGGATCCTCGCCTCACCTTCTCCACCCTGGACGTCCGAGGTGTTCCTTTGCGCCCCCAGCCTCCTGACTCCCAAGCTCCCCAACGCCGAAGTGCCCCAGAACTGCCAGAGGGATGTATCCGAAGAGGAGGCAGCCTTCCCAGGGGAGACCCACCGGCTTGGTCCGAAGAGGAAGACAGGACCTCAGTGGGAGGGAATGTGGTGATGGAAACCTTGCAGAGGGCCCGACTTCAGAGGCAGACCCCCAGCTCCACAGCCAACTCTGACTCTGCTGGGGACAGCTCCTGGGAGTTCTCAGGGGATGAGGAAGAAGAGGGGCCTGTCTACTTGGCACCTGGTGGCGGTGTCTCCCACCCACCTCTCTGGGCTGAGGACATTCTCAGAGAGATCCGGGAGGAACTGGCCAGCCAAAGGATCGAGGGTATCCCTGAGCCTGGGGACAGCAGGCCTCGGAAGCTGACTCGGGTCCAACTGCGGCGGATGCGTGGGCCACACATCATACAGCTGGACACCCCCCTGTCCACATCGTAAGTGCTGAAGGAAAGGTGGCACGGGGTGGGGGAGCAGAGGGGAAGGCCACATGGTGTGGGAGGGGGTGCCAGAGTAGGGTGTCGGCGGGGAGAGGGGAAGGAAGGCAGTACCAGAGTGGGGCCATGGCGGGAAAGGGGCCTTAGCCTCACTCTTCACTTAGACCTTGCCTAACACCCACCTCCTTTTTCAGAGAGGTGTGAGGAACACTGAGAACCCTTGGCATTTCTCCCCAACGGAATCTCCCCACAAGAGTGCTGGTCACCACCCCCACCCCTGCGTTCTACCTCAAGGACCACACTTTCTGCTAAGAAGCCTGGCCCAGGCACCCTGCCCTTCCTGCTCTGAGGACTTTGGGGATCAAGAGATGAACATTTATGTACCATAGACACACTGCAGCCCCACATAAAGTTGTGCATAAAAATGACTGTCTGGTCAGCACTAGATGAAGCTGGGAAGAAAGCAACCCTGGAGGGGAGGGGAGTCACCGAGTGGGCACAGCTGCTCCTATATTCATTGGCATCGTGGTTGGAATATCTGCCCCAAGCTCAGGGCTTTTCCCATCCCACACATCAGGATCCAGGTCTCTGCCCCAGTCTCCCACACCCACCACATGGAAAGACCATTCACTCCAGAAGCAGAGCTTGAGTTCCAGAGTTTTAGTGTATTTACAAAAGTCCACAACTCCAGCTGGAGGCCCCATTGTTCAGTGCTTGCCCTCTCCCACCCCTTGGGACAGCTCAGCTCACTCTGTGCTTGCCCAGGCAGGGGGCAGATCGGGGCCCGGTTTCTATTAGTGTAACACAGCTGGGACAAAGATTGCCTGCCTACTGTGAAAAAAGGCGCAAGGGCCAACCAGGGGCCCCTAACAGCCTTGCTGGCTTCTCCAGACCTCAGATGGCCACAAACACCAGCTTGGGCCCCCTGGCACACTCAGCCTCTCACGAAAACACATACACATACCACAAGCCTGTCTCACGTGCGCGCAGACACACACACATCTCTCATGAAAACACATACCCCACGCTTCTCACATACACACCTCATGTCTGTCTCACATGCGCGCACACACGAGCACGCACACGCACGGACCCCCAGCAGTGCTTAGGCAGCTCAGAAAAGCTATGTACACAGAGTAGCACCAGGTAAGTGGCTGCCAGCTCATGCTTGCCCCTCCTCCAAGACCCTGCGGGGAAAAGGGTCCGGCGGGCGTCTTGCACCGTCCTGTCCTTTGCGGCTGCAGGTGCAGGAAGCAGCAGTCCTCAGGGCAGGCCCCTCCCAGGAGGCGGGGCCTCATCGGGAAAGGTGGGGGGTGGGCTCCAGGGAGCTGGGGCCGCAGAGCGCCTCCTCGATGTCCTCCAGGCAGCCGAGCAGGTCCATGTCGCGGAGCACGCGGCCCAGTAGCTGCAGCGTGGCCTCGCGCCGCGGCGTGCGCCGCCGCCAGGCCGCCAGCATGCTGTAGTGCGCCTCGCGCAGGCAGCGCCCGTTCTGCAGCTCCAGCCGCTCGATCTCATGCTCGCTCAGCCCCAGCCGCCGCATGAACTCCTTCCAGCGCGACGGGGGCACGCCGTCCACCACTGCATACAGCGTTGCGGGGTCGGCTGGGTCTGCTGCTGGGAAGCGGGCCGTGAGCGCAGAGCAGCAGGGGACGCCCGCCCCGGCCCGCCGTTGTCCCCGCCCCCGGCACGCGCTATCCAGGACCCCGGCCCACCTGCTTCCAGCCCCTCATTCCTTTGGGGGAACTCACCTTCTGGGCGCTGCGTGTGGGCACCCTCCCACTTCTGAAGGGGGGCGTGGATGGGGGTGGAGGCTGGAGCCGTGGGGAGGATGGGGCCAGCCCCCTGGTAGGGTGGTGCCAGCTCCCTGGGGGCCGATACATCGCTGAAGTTAGGCCAGCCACTAGGGTTGAAGGCGGGACTCGGGGTGAAACTGGAGCTGGGGATGGGGCTGAAGCCGGTGGTGGGGCTGAAGCTTGGGGCTGAGGCCAGGGACTCCGGCTCCCCCTGAAAGTGAAGGCACAGCGTTCGCTTCTGAGAGGAGAAAGTCCCAGCCCTCTTTATTGTGGATGGGGGTGGGACTGGAGGAAGTTAGAGGTGCCCAAGGGTGCCAAGGCCGATTCCAGGTGATTTCGGTTATTAGGTGACTGTAATGGGCAGTCAGGGAAGATTGGGGGTAGGTCCTTGGTTTCATCTTACCTCTTTTATAGGTGTTGATTTCCCACAAACTGAGAAAAAAGAAACAAAGTGTCACAACTTTCACTTCCTCTTTCAGCCCTGGCGCCCATACTGGGGCTGGCCATGGGGACTTGTGGTGACATGCTTGAGGGCCAAAGTGGCCCCAGGGATGAGAGAATCAGTGATGCAGTATGACCTCTCATGAGCCATCAGGGCCACCTCCTGCCTGCGTAGTCCTCCGCAGCCAACTAGGAGACACTCATTTCCCACCCTGCCTGGCCATCTCACCCAACATCCTCCCAAATTCCGCAGCCCCCTTTCCCCCTCAAAGGCCCCACTCACTAATAGAGTGGAGCTTGGGCTTCCACCGTGGGTAGCGGCACATTAAACCAATGAAGACGAAGGATAAAAGGCAAAGACCAAAGAAGATGACCAGGGGCAATAGCACTGTGGTGCCTGGAGACAAAGTAGATTGTGGTCAGAGGAGAGGGGCAGGGGGAGGTAGCAGGGCTGGCTGGCTGCAGAGGGCAGGTACACAAGGGTATGAGTCTATTTCTCCTCACCTGAGTCCTGAGGGACCTTCACAGTATCAGTTGGCGGTAGGCACAACTTCATGCACTCTGTGTTTTTCTTGCAGCTAAAAGAAAAGAGGGCACAGGTGGATAGGGCTCTCCGTAATTGGAACACAGGAAAAAACAGACTGTTGGAAATTCTTTGCTTTACAAATATTTTAGTTATCTCTTGATATAATGGAAATTGAACCTATCTTGGGAACTGCTGCAGAGGAATGAAACAAGCACAGAATCATTCATTTAATTTTAGAACTGGAGTTACTCTTGAAGAAAGAAGCTGGGTAGAAAAAAAAGTTAAAAGCAGTCAGGGGTAGGGTATAAATTCCAGTCTGTTTACTGGCCAGCAGTGTGACTCCAAGCAAGTCATTTAACCAGTAAGCCTCAGTTTCCTCATCAGTAAAATAGGGTCCTATCCACCTATCAGGATTGAGATGGAAACGAGCACTGTACCTGACATAGAGTATGTGGCCAATAAATGGTAGCTGTCATTGAACTGTATTTATCAAAGAGAGGTCGAAGAGCTTTTTCTTGACCTTAACACTGCTAGTGACAAATCCCTCACTTTGAGGGGTCACATGAGCATGTGCAAAATTTAAAACTACATATTGCTAGAGGCAGCTCACTTCTTTACAAGTGAGTGTGCAAGAACAGCATCTCTGAAGGAGACCTGGACAGAGGGACTGAAGAGGAAATACCCTACTGCATCAAACTTGAGCTGCCCTTGGTAGTAAGGGGCACCATTATTTACATACTACACAGGCACAGCTTCCCTTGTTGGAAGCTGTCACTGTCAGTGGATTGAGGAGAATACATAGGGGTCCTAAGAGGAATTTGAGAAGGTGAGTTCTCAGCAGGAATCTAAAAGCAGGAAGAGGCACTCTGGCCCACTCACACGTTCATGGTAAGAACGACATGGAATGGGTATAAAAGCTCTTTCAAGAAAAGAGGAAACTTGGAAAAACAAATAGTTTCATGTCAGGCACTCTGTGGCTTTTTTGAGGGGCAGGGGAGTTCTTACAACTTTGCCAAGTGGATGTCATTATTCTTACTTTAGAGGAAAGAAAACTAAGGCTCAAAAGTGTTAAGTAACTTGCCCAAGGTTGCACAGCCGGTAAGTGGCTAAGCTAAGATTTCAACCCAGGTCAACTCAACTTTAGAGCTATCAAGGGTTTCCTCTTTACAAGTGAGCATGCAAAACAGCTTCTGTGGACCCAGGAGTGAGGCCTGGACAAAGGGACTGGGGAGGAAATACTGTACCGCATCACTCACAATGCCAGTGGTAATAAGGGGCACCATTATTTACACACTGCACATACACATACACACATACACAGCCACCAATTAAACCACAATGCCTCACCAATTATTCAAAGATGCAGTCTAATTTCAGAGATGTGCAAGTATGTGTCTAAAAATCAATGAACTCTAGTAGACCCTGTCAGCCAAGAATCTGAATGTCTAAGATCTGTAAGCCCTTGGGGTGGGTATGAGCCTCTTTCCCCAAAGACTTCTTCAGATTTGAGGTACAAGTTGGGGGAAGGGGAAAGACTGGTGCCTTGATGTGAAGCGCCTCCCACTCAAACAGCCAGTAGGAGCCAGAGCGCCCTGGAGTGTCTCATAGCCTGGCTGGTAGCTCTCACACAAAGCCAGCCATCCCACCCCAGCCACCTGATCCCATGCCCAGCAGTGACACATACTCACTTGACACAGGAGACACACTCATTCTCCCTCAGAAAGAAGCCTGCATGGCAAGTGCAAACGGTGTTCTGTTTCTCCTGGCCTGTGGGG